AGGGAAAATTTACATTGCCTCGAAAAAAATATTACATGAGCATACTATACTGTAAAATATAATGATATATCAAATTCTAAGCCAAGAACCCCCCGGATGTTTCCTGAGCAAGAACCACTACAAATCTTATACACCCCGTCCCTCCCTGCTAGGCTCTCAACACTGTCCCCCCACTGCAAAAAGCCTATCTTTAAATGATCTTGTCAAGGAAATTAGAAAAGACAGAGTGGCAAGTCACCACTGTGGGATTGGCCTGCTATTACACTGAAGGAGCAAAAACTCTTACCACCACCTGCAACCAGTCATTGCTAATAAAGGCAATGACAAGAACCACTTTGCTACCTACTAATTAAGGAACCAATCTACCCTTGATGTCACACCAAGAGGCAGCACCCATGACCACACTAGGGTCAGTGAAGCCAGCAAGCTCACTTTAACCCCAGGTACACTCAGGAATTAGAGGTTAAAGTGAGAACTCTCTAGCAACAGTGAGAGTACACATACCCCTCCCACCACAACAGAAGCACCGGGTACTGACTACCGAGTAGGGTCCTATACACAAAAAAAAAAAACTTTGACAGGCAAGCGCTATCCCCAACTTTAAAAATAGATTTGAGGTACAAAATTCCTACACACAATGTGACTGCAAGAATCTTTAATCTAACAGTAAAATAAATGTCGAACACTATGATGCCCTGCAAGTTGTAGAAATGTTGCTGTTCAGTCAACAAAGCAGCTTCCTGGGAGGCATGAATATTGCAGCAGCTCTGTATACTTGCATCAACTGGCCGACAGAAACACCAACTTGGTTCTCACTGACTAGCAGCATCAAGAACTACATTCTAATTGTCCAAGTTAAGAGTACATCTGAATTTCTGTAACCGAATCATGCCTCGAACCTACACAAAAATGTTTAAGAAAAAACCATCTTGCAGAATATATTGCTTTCTATAGAACTGAAGTGCATAATATTACACAATTAGGATCCTACTGTATATATAATTTATAGGCATGCATTTATAATTTTATATACAGTACTTTACTTATGATACTAAACCTGACCAATATTAGCTAACAATGGCTAGAACTTGCATTTTATGAAGGTTAATAGAAAAAAAAGGAATTTTATTTGTTTTTTAATTAAAATATTATTGCTTACTTATGTTTGCTTTGAAGTCTTTGCACCAAGCATTCATGTAAGAGAGAGTAAGCTATTTAATTTTGCAAATACAAAAATTAGGCAATATTTTAGCAAATCAAATACTGTACAATAATATATTATGCTATATTTCATGACCAAACAATATTAAGCATTTATTTTATATAATTCAACCATACCAGATTATCAGGTTAACATCCATTAGAGAGATTTGCAACTGATGACATCTCGGCCATAATGTTAACTGCTTATTAATATTGAGCACAACTACTAAATCAAGTAGTTTGTAAACAAACCGAGGATAAAGCTTTTGCTCTCTATAATACAAGGGCTGCAACACTGATACAGAGCCCTAGAAAACTAAGTTATTACTGGCTAGCCTGGAAGTGCCAAAATTAATTTGAAAAGTAAAAAAACTTTATTTAAAAAAAAAAATGGCCTGAACATGCCCATTTCCCAAAGCATTATATCACCCTAACTATATATGCAATCTAAAGAGTTATTAATGGTGTAAAATCAAGACACTAAAGATATACACACTAATAGTATAAAGTTCCTTGCGCGCACACAAAACCGTTCATTCTTGGCACCACAACCTATTTCATAATACTATAATGACTGTGGTCTCTTCAGTGGCTCCTCAGAGCTTATGAGCTGGTACCAAGGCCAGCATCATCTCACTAGGCATCTTTCGTGGCCCTAAAAGGGAGCAACTACCAAAATTCTGCCCCGCCCCCACCCCTTTCTCAGGGGTGGGAAGCTGATGGGACTAAGCCCACAACTAGTGAAATCCAACTAAATTGGCCAAAAGAGGGTCAGTCTCAAGGCACTCAAATGTGTATTTCTATTCCTGTGCCATTTTGAGTATGTGAGCATTACGCGTGTAGTGATGGTGGTTCTTCAAGAGTAGTGGGCCTGTTTGGCCTGTTAGTGTGGCTGGTTGCTGTCACCGTTTCCAATACTGTACTCCATTTTTTTTCTCCTCAGGCCAGGCTCGGGGCAAGATTTCTACTCTGGTATTTTTAAGAGATTTTCTCTCCTCTTTCTGGATGACTGATTTCTAATAAGGTAGCCTTCATTCCAAAAGGCTTAGCAGAGTATTTTTCATTGCTGTCAGTACCGAGTCTTGCTCCAGGGATTTTTTTCCCTTTTAAGGCAAGTTGGGAGGAGTATGGTGCACCACCTCCACTGTTCTGTTCCTCTTCATGCTTGATACGACATTGCTGTGTGTTTGGTAATGTCAACATCTGTTCCGATTTTTTCCACTCCCTAGTTGCACAGATGTGGGTCTCTATTCCTGTGCCAAAACTAGTCAGTAGTTTCAAAGTCATATGCCAGTACTGGAAAATGGGACACCATGAGTATAACTGTCATCCTGTAACTACACTAAAGTAATTAATATTCTATATTAAGTGTCTCGGCAATGGGGATACAGGTCGTAGTCTGATAATGCCAGATATCTGACGAGAAAAGTTAAGAACCCCCTGCCTTAACTGGATCTGCCTTAAGGAGTGCCTTACTCCTAGCAGAGCAGGGCACTCCTAGCTATCGGGATTGTTACTGCATCATGGCAGTCTTAAATCCACTATCTAAATGTTTTGATTATGACATATGGTGGGTTAAGATCCACAGGATCGAGTACGTTCTCTTGGTTAGGCTCTTCCACTTTGTCTCTTCACAGCAGAGGGAATGGCAGACAAGAATGCTTTCCTGTGGGTTTGGGAGGCTACAATTAGACGTTTGCCTCAACACCAAGTCGCAAACTTCAGGGGCCAGATTCACAAAGCAGTTATGCAAGTACTAACGAACGTGTACGTCTTTCCTCATTCGTTGACGACTTTGATTACATTTTTTAAACAGTTTACAAGCACGAAAATTTCCCAATCAATTGTTATTGTTATAAACGGCCACCTGGTGCTTCAGAGCTCATTAACTGTTTAATAATTGTAGACAAAGCCACCAAAGATTGACAAAATATGTACAGGTACGCAAGAACTTGCGTAACTATTTCGTGAATCTGGCCCCTGGTATATATGGTCCACTTTCAGACTACAAGATGCTCAGTGGCTGCCCTTCACCCGAGGTGGTCATGGTGGATTTCTGTACAGTATTATAAATCTTTTGCTTCAAGGTGTTCTTCCTATGGCTTCCAGGTTGGGGACCAACTGGCCATGTCATTCTCCAGTCTCCTTTGTAGCCAGTTCACACATACCATGTGATACCATGGGATCAGCCCATGGTATCACATGGGCTTCATATCAGCTTCACACACTTTGGCTCTTCCAGTTTCTTTTTTCAGAGGCTTCACCTTGTGATAATCTGCCACTGCAAATTGTCTTTTGCTGTCCAGACCTTGACCTATTCCTCGACTTTAACCTAGTGCTTCTTGCTATTATTTTGGCCTGTTGATCCTCTATGTTTAGCCATTTTGTCCTCTACAATCTCTATAATGCCCTACAATGCCTCTACACTGTCTATAATGCCTGGCCAGATGCCCTACAATGCCTGGCAAGATGCTCTACAATGCCTCTACAACACTATATTAGCCAAGAAGCACCAATGCACAGACACTTAGCCAGAGGAGGAAGAGCCTCCCAGCAAGAGACATTTCATTATACATAACATTTTATCTTGAGCATGCTTTAATGTTTATTATACAAATCAAAACTCCATATTTATTTTTCAACCGACATAAACATTAGGTGGACAATATAAACATTACATCCACTCATCGTGAAATATACTATCTATTACGCACACATTTTCTGAATAAAGAAACCAAGTGCCATGTGAAAAGTAACTTTAAAATATGATTGTTGGCAAAATATTTAAGTTAGATAACCTTAGAGCAATGCTTTTGCATCTCGTGTCCTTCCTTCACACCCTGTCATTCAGTAGCCTTCCCATCCTCATTCCATAGTGACTAATAGCAAAGATTCCATGATACAGAATTATTGGACATTTATTCTGCTCAAATGACATCTAGGAAATGGTTATATTTACCGGTTATCTCCGAAGATTCAAAATCACCTCACGCATTCAAGGGATTTCCAATCAAGATATTCAGGATGGAGGCAAGTACCAATTTAACAGGTGAAAGAGTATGACTAGCTTTATGTCAATGGAAACTGGGTCAGCAATTACAGAATTATGAATTCAGAGCACCAGCCCAGTTTCAAGATTAAAATCTCTTGCAATTTTGGTTATATTTTCCTCATACACAAGGAACAGGGGGCATTAATGCAAATAGTGCAGATGTATGTTCAACTTAAAATTAGTATATACTGTATTACAAATTGATCTGCAAACATTAGCATCCATGTAGAGGAGCTGCAGAAATAAAAACACCAGAGAAGCAAAGGAAGATACTAGAGAGCTGGGAATGAGTGTCTTAATGTGAGGAGAGAAGCAGAGACTATGAAAATGGCATCACAAGTAAAGGCATGACCCAACCAAAACTGCTCCACAGCTTCATCAGGAGGAAAACAGTAGTGAAGGAACAAGTGATGAAATTGAGAAAAGGGGAGAACAGATATACAGAGAATGACAAAGTGATGCGTAAAGAACTCTTCTAGAGATTCCAGGTCTTCACAATAGAGCACTAAGAAATCTGTACTAAGAGGTGGTGGTAAACCAAGCAACCTTGGAGGAATCTGAGCTTACCAGAGGTCAAAAGGAATCTAGAGCCTATGTGACAGAGGCTGTTGTCACATTCAAATATCAACTTTGCTGGTTAATATACTTGCATCCATATATACAGTACGCTCATTCTATCAACTCTTGCACATCACTTCAAATGCCATTTTTTCTAGCTCTTATTCTATATTACTATTCTTCGTACCTTGATCCTCACGGACAGCCCTCAGGAACTCTTCCAAGTCTTTGGACTTGGCAGTGTCTGTTGCTGCTGCCTTGACCTCTTCTTCAAGCCTGTCAAGCTGCTCCTTTGGTAGGTGCGCAAATCGTCCTAAAAGAAAATGCTGGTTTGATACTACAGTAGTCCAATACAAATTAACGGGGCAATACTACTTTTACAGTCGTAAAAACAAGTTACATCTTTTATTTAATTCATTACAATAAACCAAACATCTTACTCAAAGATCAGTTTAAGACTTTTGTTTACGTGTGAACATAAAAGTATATAGAATTATAGTAGTACTACAACACTACAGCATATCTTAGAGACAAAAAAAAGTTTATGGATACCATTGTCAGAAATTTCTGACAGCATTTACTAACTTTTAATACAATATGCATAAATAATGTTGCTGCTTTGTTGCTGCATTGGAGGCCTGGTCGAGGACCGGGCCGCTGGGACACTAAGCCCTGAAATCATCTCAAGGTAAGGTAACTGCCGTTTTGTATTAATCCAAAATTAACTTAATTACTTTAGTTACTCATTCAGAGAAACTATACGTGGCAATTATCTCCAGAAAATGAGATTATATTTACACTGTCAAAATTAATTTAATACCCACATGATTAATCAATAAATACTTAATTCAACAGTCTCAGGACAAATTACTAAATTATTAGTCATCAAGTGAGTTAGAATAGACTCCTCCTAATTATTAATAGGACTCCGAACCATTTTTGGGGGATGCGTCCTGAGGGAGGAGGAGGAACGCTATTAGTGCACTTGCCCCTGGAGATGAAACATATCGTGTGGTATGTCGTGCCGAAATACTGAGCCTCCCACTACGATTACTCACTCCACCTGCAAGTCCAAGAAAGCAGTGTGACTCGCACTAATCACTATTTACTGCCACGACTTGACACAACTAAGTGCAGAGTTCTGTTTTTTCCTATTAGCCCAATTTTTGGTCAATAGTTACTGTGTCTAGGATTAAATCGTTATTCGGTAGGACACCACCACCCGCAAGGATAAAGGTTCTTGATCTCAATTTAATCTTGTGTGTTATAATCTAATTATATCTGTAGTTTATTTTCACAGGTAAATTGCGAGCATGTGAGGAATTAAGCCGAGCTGTACTGTCCCTCGAACAGCCGCCATTAATACGGGTCCAGGACGGACTGCACGTGGTGGACCGAGTCTGATGCAATAAATTATAATCAAAGTCTGCTTAACAATTAAATAATTAATAAATTTAGTCAAAATAAGTACAAAGAAATTTTTCACTAGTAGATTTTCTCACAACCATCAAAACACTATCTATATAATCCTGTCATTTGCTCAATGTTGGCATCAAAAGGATCAAGTTGTAAAAAATACACCAACCTAAAAATCCCCTCCATGGACCACATGACAATTACCAAAGAGCCCCCATTTTCAGTGGCCTCAACAGAATGGAAGAGCCTAAAAACTGCACGTGACGATGTCGACGCCATCTGTTGAGCGCACCCGACCCCATTTACTGTTCCCGGTGGATTGCTGTGATCTTACCGACACCTGTATAGTTTCTTTCTCACTATTCATCTTTAATCCTCAGAAGTGATATGGTTGGTACCTTGGGCGACAGGAATTGGATCACTCAGGGCAGTCCTGAACTCAAGACATGTTCCGGTGGGAACAAGTGGCCGAGTCGTCGTAGACTGACTGGTCTGTGATACTTAGTGAATTACTGTATTGGTGATTGGACCAACCTATTCCAGGACAGCCAAATCGAGTTACGAGATGGAATTAACATCTGTTAAGGCTTGTTAAAAGTGAACCCTGCCAGTGTGTTGCTGGAAGTGGTGTTTTGGCACCATGACAATACTGTAGAGGACTGGCCCATAATCTACTGAGAAAAGGTGATCGCCGGCATCAGGACCATAAAAGACAGACTCGGGGAGGGAGCCTCAAGTGGTGTACGATAGAAGATAGAAGTGGACTCGCCAGGAAAAAAGATTGCAGAAGTTTTTATACTGTCCTGTGTGAAAGTGACATGCTGTGTTATATGCTGTACATTTGTATATATACATTTAAGATGAATGTTTTTATTCATACATACTGCAATGGGGACCATTTGACAGTTGAATTTTGAACTTTAGCACTGTTTTGGCATTTATGGCTTTTCCAGATAGGCAATTCTGTGGGATTTCACACCCTAGGAGTGAAGAAAAATTTCCCCTTTTCTGTCCTACATTGTGCATTATTGACCTTCAAGCTGTTGCTTCTGTGTTACATTTGACCTTTTAAAGAAGTGGCCTAGATCTTGTATGTAATCTTTCAATTACAGTACAGTAATTCAGTACATACTGTATTTTAAAGGTATAGACAAGAGCCGCAGTTACTTCTGGTTTGTAGTTAGTCGTGAGGCTTTCAACCTTGCCTGGTATGGAAGTTTTTGTGATAAAATCTTGGGAACAGAACAGGGATCAAACCAGAATCCTCAATAACCCTAGATGTGCATCTTAAGCCATGCACTGATATGGTGAAGGTTACATAACCTGGTATCTGCACGAATCCACTAGGAATCCAGAGGTACCGAGCTTGTAGACAATCAGTTTTACATGTAATCCACATACTCTGGTGTTGGTAATAAGAGCTCTCCACCAAATTCTCCTGTAAAATCAGCAGGAACATACACACGACACTGGAATAGGCACAATATCATGGGATATTCTGGTTCAATCCCCCCCCGTTAATTTTACAGAAGCATTTGGTGGAGAACTATTACCTACACCAGAGTATGTGGATTACAAGTAAAACTTTGTCTACCAGCTTTGTGCCTCTAGATTCCCAGTGGATCTGGATAGATCACAATTTAAGTTACCTTAAGCACACCATGGTCCATGGTTACAGTACATATTTAGGGTTATGCAGAATGCTGGTTTGATCATTGTCCTGCTCTAAAAGACTCTGATATATCATGCTACAGTATTGTAATTTCATTTTGTTTGGAGATTTTTGTTGCTGTACAATTAACTTTCCCACAGCAGTTATGTCTTTTTGAAGGCAAGGTCTACATACTTGGTTACAGTAGTCCAGGTGAGTGCAACACAGGTTTGTACAGCTTAATAACCCCTTTTTTCTAGAAGTCCAAAGGTGGACATTATAAATTCTTAAGGTTTGTTTTGCCATCTTTTATTATAGCTACTTACTAAGCAACTTTTTAATGATTTTTTTCCCACTTCCCACCTTAACACACATTTTTGTCAAATTTCACGTGCTTTGTAACTTATGTCAATGTATAATACAAACACCGTTGGCAACAAGATGGAACCTTGCAGAAAACTTGAGTAATTACAAAAATTTTATAGTCTATTCACTTCCATTTAGGACAAACTTTTAGCTTCTTGTTTTAACCATAGTTTTATCTATTCTAGAATTTTGTCATTTATTGAGTGCTTACAGTTTGTGACAGTCTTTGTGGTACCTTACTAAAGGCTTTAGAGAAGTTCATGCCTACATCTACTGGATTAAAAAACATTGGGTGAAACGGTAAGGAATCTTGCCTTCCATTATTATTTATCTTATTTCTATGTGCAAAAAAAAATATGTAGTCAATACTGTATTATGAAATGCGTAAATGCTATACAAATATTTACCCGCTTCTTTTGCTGCTGCAAATTCCTTCAAATATTTTTGCACCTGACCAGGGGGTATCTTTGGCTTGCTTGGAACACCAGGTTGGTCTAATCTTGCTTGGGCTTCCTAAACAAATACAAAAAATAAACAATTATACAAAATGATTATAGGTTATACAATTTATATCATTAATATATCTTTAATGGATGACACTAGAACTGGTTAATATGGGTCGAATGTAGATAAAAAATGAATTACTTACCAACTTTTGTTTTTGGAAGGAATATGGGACATACGGTGGAGCCTCGTGCCTATGCCTCTTGAAAAGGCTCTGCAATAGGCCAAAAAAGAAAATTTAAAAAATTGAAATTGCAGCATTAGCAGCACCCTCCAATAATTTTAAAGCCTTTAAACATAAAATAAATGTATGCTTAAAATACTATATATTTAGTATTATACAGTCATCCAAAACAAACAACATGCAGATGCCAAGCTGGTACTACAGTACTGTATTACGTAATTTAAAGCACCATTGTTTTAGCTGTACGAAAAAGCTGGCAAAGCAGACAGAACTAAGGCAAGCATTCAGCACCAAGTTCACTACGTATCTGGTTATTACCTGTGCTGTGCACTAGTTATGACTACTGTACTTTGGTATGCAAATGATAGCAAATATTAGTTGTATTCAAGTTGAATACATTTTTAATTATTATTTGCGATAGGATTAAATCCCTAATTATACTTACGGTTTGGAAGCCAATACAAATGTCATGAGTTTTGCAATGGGTGCATGGTGAGGGTACAGTACCTACAGTGACAGATGCAAAATATATCCATAACATGAACTATAAAAACAGTCATGGTGACAAAACCATTAATGCCGATATCAAATACATAATGGTGACTGACAGGAAGATTGTGGCAATATGATTTATAGATAACAGTATGGAGTACAGTAGGTAATTACAGCATGCTCAAGTTAACAAGTTTTGTTCAGATAATTGTATGATAAATTCCATTGTGTTTATTAATTAGAAAATGACAATAGCATGTTAAACGTTTGCAATAATCATTGAAGTAGAATATATCACACTAGTGTGATTTCTTAGTGTATTTGAAGGGAGCATTTGGAGAATTCATCATCAACACCAGTGTATGCACATAATTTATAAAACATTGGATTGGCTATGAGCTCTGTACCTCAAGACACTGTGGGTTCAGGGGGACCCGTTAAATTACTTATATCATGGTCCAATGGGTTTAGGTGTACACTGAGGTGACCCAGGATGATGGTTCGATCCCCCATCCTGGTCCAATAATTTTCACAAGGCAATGAGAAGAAATATTACAAATAGGAATTGTGCAATTATGATTCAGTCATTGCATATGCAAGCACTGACAGGAAGGTGTAGAATCAATGAATGTCTTCCATTTTCCTTCAGTCACATGCCTATCATATTGGGCTTGTGGCACTTTAGCAAAGTCCAGATTTATTAATAACATTTACTTTTCCCCACTCCCTATCCTACCACTTTTCATGGCTCCCTGTGGACACATTCTTCATACTTTAAACATGCAGATGATCACCATAAAATATGTAAATTGTGTTGAATGTATGTAACATGAAGATACAGTTTAAAAATGCTATTACTGAAACACGTTGAACAATAGCAAAGATGCAGCCAAGGTTGTGTAAATGATTTTGGTGTTATAACCAGTGTCATACAGGTGAAAGTACCTTAATACTATATCATTAGACTGTGTGACTGTACAGCGATGGTGCAGAGCACTACAATAATTTTAACCCTTAGACAGCAGCTATGGAGAAATGGTCATACCCAACTATGGAAAAAATTTATAGAATTTTAATTTGTATGCAGAATACAAGTAAAACAAAATTAAGTGAATATTTATTATTTCACTGGGTGGAGATGCTCCGTAAGTTTGCATCTGGCACTTGTCAACACCTGGTGCTTGACTTTGTTGATGCTACTCTATTTATTCTCTGATGTTTCACAGAGTGTTTCATCACTTTTTTCCTTTATTTACATCCACAGAGAGCTTTTATATCCATATTTGCATCATTCATATAAAACCCAGACAATAATTGTTTAAAATCACCATCATGACCACATTCCCCTAATAACATTCATGATGATATCTACATTTGTACCATGAAATGGTAGGTTTTTTTTCATGGGTCAAGGTAAACATTACAGTACATCCACACAGATCTATTATATCCATAATGACATACATGCAATACCCAGACAATGTTAAATCTTCATGTGATAACTGCATTACCCTGGGAATCAACAATTTATGATAACTGCTGTCTAAGGGTTAAGAGGTTAAGGACAACACATGTAAAGTGAAAGAAAGGCATACATTATGACTGTGGTGATAATGGAAATATTGGCTCTGAAGACCAACGTGGTAGTTGCCATTATTGTAAAATAAATAAATACCAGTGTTTATATTTAACACTGGATGGTTGAGCAAACATGCAATGTGTATTGGTGCAGAGATGCGGAACTGCACTCTGGTGCCTCACGCTCACAGTTCTCGAACCATCAAATTCCCTTGATGGAGCCAGTGCAACTGAAGTTTATTACCTTCCTGGAAGTACCGGCACCCATTTACACCCAAAGTCAAGCGGAGCAGAGCAGCAAAGTCCCTTGCCCATGACGACATTACCCCATCCGAAGCTTGAACCCAAAAGGCCAGTGCTTTAACCCCTTGTCAAGGAGTATTATTATGAAAAACATTTATACTATGATGGATGAGAACATTAAAAAAAAAATACCAGCTGATAGCTTGTGTGACAGCAGAAGCATGAGAATGATTAGGAGATAATGGTCTTACATCTATGTATCGAGCATGTTGTTCTATCTGGAAACAATGTTGAGGTGACCACATGAGCAATCTTCAAGATATTTTGAATAGCCTACTTTCAAGACATCCAATCCTTATAGACCATAACTAAACGTTTGTCGAGGAATTCCGTATATTGGTGGAAAGGTGTAATGCCCTTAAATACAGTAGTACAGGTAACATATAATCTATTATTTTATCCATTCCACTCCATTAAAGTAAGCAACACTGTACCTCTAAATATTTTACACAATTAAGGATAAAAATTGAAAGCAACAGTGGATACAGAAATTTAAGTGTTCATAGCACAAACAGTAACAGCCTCAGAGTATCAAACGACAAATACAAAGTCAAGAATACTGCAAAGCAATACAGTACCCCCGCAACCCATTCTTGCACCTGCTTAGTCAATATCTTGCTTATGAATAAGTGCATATGTGACATACTAATTTATTGTGAATATTTGAGTTTACCTTGAAAAGTTGAATAGAAAACCACAACCTAACCTTCTTAGTATGTTAAGACATTACAATTAGTACTGAACCTATACCTATATTGATATTATAGTTTTATAAAAATAATAAAACAAAACTAAAATATTTAAATAAATTGTAAAGTAACTCGGAATATTGTCAAATTTTGTATAAAATCTCTATTGTTTAATAAAATTGAGAGGAAAAGTTTGTGCCTTTAAAAAAATATGGCTTGGAATGTCACATATGTACTTATTTATACGCAAAATAGTATAAGCATAGTCATATGTACCGTCTTGTGCGAGAGCGGGTTGCCTGCATTTTACAGCGCCTATTACCTTTATTGTCATTTAAAAATATATATTCTTGAAAGTGAATATTTTTCTTATAAAGGTTAGCAATTAAGTGCAGTTAGATTGCACATGTGACCTCAAAAAACATTGCTGTGAAAAATCTAGGGCATACATACTGCACAAGAAAATGACAAACATGAAAAAATAATGGAGAATTTCAGTATAAAATAAAATACTGTATGATGAAAGTGTAATGTGTGATGGGTACATAACAAAAGTAATGTGCATGCCATTACAACGGCACTTTATGACTGCATCAAACTAGTCTACTAGGTAAACGGTGGCACTAACAAGTTATACTACAGTATACATGATGCTAGTCCTAAACAAATAAGGTGCAAATATGACTATTTATGTAAGATCTTGCACTGAGATGGCAATAAAGCATTTTTTCAAGACACGTATTTTATTTATTTTTATTTATTTATTTATTTATTTAATTTATTTTATATATATATATATATATATATATATATATATATATATATATATATATATATATATATATATATAAACTATTCCCCCCCCCCCCAACATTTTAAAATACTAAATACTGTACTGTGTAAAAAAATAAATATATAATCTTGCAAAGGAGAAAAAGCCTTTCAACTGAGCAATGCAATTACAGTATAAGAATATTACATGACAATTCTATTGAATATTCATACAATCAGACAACAATACTATCATATCCAAAATACATTAGTGATGTATGCATTAGAAGATATAATGCATTAGAAGCATTAGAAAATATGCATTAGAAGACTTATTGAACAATTATCACAACATTTTTTTGACAAACTTCAGAGCCAATTTTTTTTAAATAAAACAAGCAAAATCAGCCACATTTCTAAAAGCATTTTCTTCCGTGAAATATTATTCGTTGGAAAATTAAAATGATTGCTAAACTACTGTACTATTATTTAACTAATTTTATGTAAATACACACATGTACAAACTTAAAGACAGAACTCGTGCAAATAAAATACCAAAACAACGAAACTAATATTAGAGCTAATGGTTATATAGGAAGTGCAAGCCAGGGGTAAACAAAACACGAGAGAAAGTTAAAAACAAAAAAAATACCAGAGTTCTGGAGGTTTGCCAGTGAGGGAGACTTGTGGCAAAGCTAGAATGTCGGCCTGGCAACCAAGGCCATGGTACTTCAACACAATTATATGCATTGTTGACGGCTGGTCACACTGTCAATCACAACATGCCCGTCCACAATCATATACAATAAGCAGTGGCAAACATGTCAAATAAAGAAAGTTAAAGACTGATTCGTTTAGCAAGAGAGAGAGAGGGGTGTGTGTGTGTGTGTGTGTGTGTGTGTGTGTGTGTGTGTGTGTGTTTGTGAGTGTAACCCAAGATGGGTGCTATTACAGGTATAGCCAGCCTGCCACCAGCCTCACACCCTGCTTGGACTTCCACTCTTATCAATGAAGTGCTCTTAAACAACTTATCAGTGCTGATATTACAGCAAAAAAATTCATTCTAGGATGTACGGAATATGTCTTTCCTCGATTTTGTTACTACGTATAATAAAGTTTTCCATTTTATGCCAAGATAAACAATCACTATACTATACAATACATTTGAAAAACTTCTTACCAAGAAAGCCTTATAAC